AAAAAAAAAAAAAAAAAATGCTTCCAGCTTAAGGCCACAAAGTTGGAACTCTATTCTATCAAAGTCAAATGCAAAGAGCTCAAACACTGAGAAGGAAGACATGCACCTGATGCTAATTGGCTAGTCCAATGAGAAGTCAACTGCTCCCTTTCTGTTCCTTTGCAGCTCTTTGTGAGAGAACCAGAAAAGAGACTGGGAGTGAGGGGAGACATCCGCCAGCATCCTTTGTTTCAGGAGATCAATTGGGAAGAACTTGAAAGAAAGGAGATTGAACCACCTTTCAAGCCTAAAGTGGTAAGACTCATCCATGGAGAATATTGCTTTTCAACCATTCTCTCTTTGCACAGGCTGCCTACCTGTCCTAGTAAATACAAAGCAGTTCCTGACCCCTGCCCCAAGCACCAACTTCCCGCCCATTCCCATCCTTCATGATCCCAATACATTATTGGAAGAATGTGCTCCTTTAACCATAAAACAAACCAGTTGTTGCCAAGTCAATTCCAACTCATGGTGAACCTGCTGTGTGTCAGAGTAGTAATGTGCTCCATAAGTGTTCAATGGCTGACTTTTCAGAAGTAGATTGCCAAGGCTTCCCTCCAAGGCATCTCTGGGGAGACTCAAACCTCCAACCTCCGGTTAGCAGTCAAACACATTAATTCTTTGCACCACTCAGAGAACCCTCTTTAACCATAACACACCAGTGTTACAGTTATATGGCTGGTGGGGGTGTGAGGAGATGTTACTCTTGTTAACAAAATTTGACCTATGCATCAACATGTACCTGAACAAAGAATGAATAGCAAAATCTGCATGCCTTGGGCTGAACGTGTATGTATGCACAGTGACTATCACCTGCACGTGATAGATACATACTTAATGATCACACTCTGTAAGAACCAAACTTGTACGTAAATCCTGCATCCTATTTGAAGAATTTGGGAGCCATTATTTTTTCCCATGATATTTAGTTGACTTAAAATTTGTAATTTGTTCACACAATTACACTCCCTGGTGTCAATTCATAGGTGTTCTTCAGTTTAAGGCAGAAGTAGTAAACTGATGCTTTAAAATAGACAGGTATCTAAATTCCCAAGTGTATATTCACTAGCAAAAGCCACTAATCTACAGCTGGAGAGTCATAACAACCTAGGTCACACACAGAACAGGCCACAATAAAGGGAAATCAAAAGTAAAGCAAAGTTTTAAAAGAGCCCTCATGGTGTAAACAGTGAAGCACTGACTAAAAGGTTGGTGGTTCATACCCACCCAGCAACTCCATGGGTGAAAGACCCAACAATATTTCCATAAAAATTGTTGTTGTTAGGTACTATTGAGTCACTTCTGACTCATAGTGACCCCATGTATAACACAGTGAAACACTGCCTGGTCCTATGCCATCCTCAAAATCATTGCTATGCTTGGAGCCCATTGTTGCAGCCACCTTGTCAATCTATCTGGTTAAGGGTTTTCTTCTTTTTCACTGGCCCTCTTCTTTACCAAGCATAATGTCTTTCTCCAGAGACTGATCCCTCCTGATAACATGTCCAAAGTACGTGAGACAAAGTCTCACCATCCTCACTTCTCAGGAGGCTTTTGACTTCCAAGATGGATTTAGTCCATGGTGTATTCAATATTCTTCACCAACAGAACCTAGAAAACCCTGTGGGACAGTTCTACCCTGTCACATGGGTTTGCTATGAGTGGAAATTGACTCAATGGCACCCAACAACAGCAAACTGTGAAAAAATAAATTTCTATTTAAAGTAAAGCAAAGTTGATAGATTTTCCAGCTTTACTTCTCCCTGGAAATTACTGAAAAATAAGGTAGAAACCACCTAGATAGATGTGAACAATCTCTGCTGTCTCTTTGCAGAGAATGGCATAGGCTCATGGGCATCACAGAAGAGTGTTCACCCTAGACGATAATCACTGCCACCAGCCATCATAGTGAATGGCTGAAAGAAGCAAGAGTGCTTGGTTCCTAGTGTTAGGATGTCGTTGTTGTTGTTGTTATGTGCCATAGAGTCAGACCCAACTCATAGTGACCCCTCCTTGGGTTTCCGAGGCAGTATCACTGCGGAAGTAGATTGCCCCATCTTCCTTCCAAGGAGTGGCTGGTGGGTTTGAACCGCCAGCCTTACGGTTAGCAGTCAAGTGCCTTAGGCACTACACTACCAGAGCTCCCAGTGTTAGGATAGTTGTTCTCAACTTTTGTCTCAAGCTCTGGGGATTTTCCAGGGGTTCTACAGGCGGGTCTCTAATACTTTTATTGTTTGTAATAGTACTATATCTAATACATGAATTAATAATTTGTATATAATAAAATGAATTTTTACCTAATTTTAGCTAATCAGAACCATTTCATTCACATCTCAACTTCTATTTCAGATAAAAATTGACTTGGTATTTTCCACATAAAAATCAGAATTTTCATCTAAGCTTACTTTATAAGACAACTTCTGATTCTACCAGTAGGAAGGAATTTCCCTGACTTGTTTTCTGAGTAGCCATTTGTAGGCAGAGGCCAAGGCCATTGAACTCACCAGCCCACGGCTCTTTGGAGGGTGATGAGGTCCTGGCCTTGAATGTATAGGGGCAATATGAGTCAGAATGGACTTAACAGCAATGGATTATTTTGATAATAGTTGTTCTTAATCTTAGAAAGCTAAGTTGTACACAATCCTGAATAGTATTTATGAATAGGTGTTTGCTTCACTCTTCTTGTTTTTGTCTTCGAGACCAGTGGATCAAGTGGTCTGAAAGGAGCTTGCCCCCAGCCTGTGCCATCTAGGAAAGACAGTCCAAGATATTATATAATAAAATTAACATGGGTAGGGGGACCAATGGTTACAAAGGATATTGATTTTAAAAAAAGAATATGTAATTTGCAAAATTCCTTCTCTCCTCCCTTCTTCCCTTTGCATGACCCCTCAACTTCAGCTACAGTCCCAAGTAGACCAAAAGACCAGAGGTCAAATCTAGCTCACCACTTTTTCAGAGAGTGCCAATCCTGTTTTATGTAAACTATCATTTAGAGACATTAAGTTTTATTTGAACTTATACAATGGAAGTCCATTATGAATTTAATTATACTACTGATAAAATGGAGAGGACAATTGGTGGTTCAGTAGTAGGATTCTCACTTCCCGTGCAGGAGACCCATGTTTGATTCCCAGCCAGTGCACCTCTTGTCTGTCCGTGGAGGCTTGTGTGTTGCTATCATGCTGAACAGGTTTCAGTGGAGCTTCCAGACTAAGACAGATTAGGAAGAGAGCCGGGCCATCTACTTCCAAAAATCAGCCAATGAAAACACTATGGAACACAGTGGTCCAATCCCATCATGTGTAGGGTTGCCATAAACTGGGGCCAACTTCAAGGCAGCTAACAGCAGCAACAATGATAAAATGTCTCAGGATCATGGAGACAATAAAAGCCATGATCGTCTAGAAGTGTTACTTCAATTTAGTTGACCTGCAAACACCAGCACTGCCATACAGACTATAGCCTAAAACCAAAACCAAACTCACTGCCATCGAGTCAGTTTGACTCATAGCAACCCCTCCTTGGGTTTCCGAGGTGGTATCTCTATGGAAGTAGATTGCCCAACCTTCCTTCCAAGAGTCTAGCCTAGATAACAAAAATTAAGATAATAAATTTAGTGGCTGACTTTCTTCTCTTTTTACCCCCCTTAAATTCTGACCAAGAAATCACCATATGACTGCAGCAATTTCGATAAAGAATTCCTGAATGAGAAACCTCGGCTGTCATTCGCTGACAGAGCACTCATCAACAGTATGGACCAGAACATGTTCAGAAACTTTTCCTTCATTAACCCAGGGATGGAGAGGCTGATATCCTGAATCCCTCCTCTCCAGAGACACAAAGGAACTTGCCTTCTCTCTGTGAACTTGTTCAAGCAACATTTCTGGGGTTCCTTTTTCAACTTGGAGAAGATAAGAAACACTCATCAATAAAGGCTGAGACCTTTTAGCTCCTCATGTGACTTTTTATCTGTAGCAGAAACCAACGGCCACTAATGACAAAGCCCTTTGGTTTATCTCCTGCCATCTCTCACAGATGCTCTTGAAGTTAGATCGTTGACCTTGGTGTTCAAATCTGACACTTCAGACCCCACCCCATGGTAATAATATACTTGAAAGACAGTTCTCAACACTGAAAGATTTGAACACTTAATACTGCTCTAAATCCCTGATTAATGTGCTGATCATTGAAAGGCTTGCTGAGGCAAGGTGCAAACTGAATGCAGACATCTCAAGACTCAAACAGCACATTTCCCATGTAATAGTGGATTTCATTCTGCCACGGTCAAGTAACCACTAACCCATTCTGTGCATAGCTGTGGAAATGTGGAAATGGCAGAGTGGGAGAGCCCTGAATAGTTACAAAATTTTCATGGTTCACAATAAACAGCATGTACCTTGAGATTTACACATCCATTCATTTAGATTAGCCATGATCTTCACAGGAAAGAGAAAAATGGTAAGTGGGAAAAACTCATGTCACTGATACAAGAAGTTTAATAGAACACCTGTTCCAGTTATCTTGTCAACATGGAAATTTAGAGTCCACCAGAGATAGTATCATTTTACTCCTGCCAATAAAACCTTCCTATCCATCCATTCTCAGTTTTCCATTGTCAGCAGCAGTCACTTATTACCATCTTCACATTATAACAAGAAAAGATATGAAGTGCATAATCCTTCAAAGAGAAAAGAAAACTAGTCCCTTATCATCCCATAACTGATGGTTTGATGACTCATGAGTCTCTCTTTAGGCATCATTCAAGATAAAAGGCCCATGCATGTCATTTGCAGTAGTCAATCTCATTTGATTAGAATTCTAGCTATACATTTTTAAAGTATCTGTGTTGTTTGTATATTTTGATAAAATATTGTGACTTAACGACAAAGAGGTGGATGTGTAAAAATGGAATAAAAAAAGAGCATGAAAGAAACCTCTTAATCATTTCATTCCCTACCTGTCCTCTCAGAACTTAATTCTGTCATGTTTATCATCAAAATGCAGATAGCATTCAGCTGATGATTTAAAATTTTAGAATCATTACAAATTCCCAAACAGATGAGAAATTAAAAGAACCCTCAAAATACTGTCTTAAATTTCTCTTTTCTTTCATCACGGTTTTCTTTTAGACCATAGGAATGGCCTATGCTTATTGTCTCTACTTCTCTGCTACCCACAGGTGGTTTCTGCCCTCAAACCACTTAATGCTTCCTCCAAGAAATAACTTCCTGCCAACCCTGGTGGAATCTCCCTAGTCCTTACCTACCTTTCTGCAGCATTTTATACAAGGAAGGACCCTCTCTTTGATCCTCTGTCCCTTTAGATACTCTGATATTTCACTCCCTCCATTTTGATCACTCCTTTTTGTCCTTGTACCCTAAATCACCGCTAAGGCTCCTTTTCCCTCTTTCCCTTTACATCCCCTTGGTATTCTCCTCCTACTTCCTACCTTCAAGGACCATCTCAGTCCAGATCATTGTAAATCCATCTCCAGTTCTAACAGCTCTGCCAGGCTTCAAGAAGTCTCCATTGACTCACTGTGTCTCCAAAGAAGGGCATCCTATTTTCTTACAATCTACCTTTCTCTTGTGTTTACTACTTCTGTTAATGGTACCATCATAGACTCAGTCATATATATATAACATTATACATATTACCTTCACAAATCAAGGATTTTATAATATTTAAAAAAAAAAAACAAAAAAACACTGCCATCCAGTCGGATTTACTCATAGTGACCCCTCCCTTGGGTTTCTGAGGCAGTATCTCTACGGGAGTAGATTGCCCAGTCTTCCTTCCAAAGAGTGGCTAGTGGATTTGAACAGCTAGCCTTCTGGTTAGCAGTCAAATGCCTTAGGCAGTACCCCACCAGAGCTCCCATTTCTATAACCAAAACCCTTTGTAATCTCCAAAGCCTAAAGCCCACTCAGGGCCACCAGTTCTATTCCAGGACAACCTTTCTACCTTTATCTCTCTACTTTTCTTTGATTCACTTGGCTCTACAGCCAAATTGAATTTCTTAACATTACCTGTAATCAAAAGAAGCCCTATTGGTGCAATGGTTATGTGCTCAGCTGCTGACTAAAAGTGACTCCTAGAGAATCCTAGGAACCCTTATGGGGCAGTTCTACTCTGTCCTATCAGGTCACTATGAGTCAGAATTGACTCAACAGCACCCAACAATAACAACCTGTAAACACCCATCTTTTCCTATCTCTGGGCCTCACTGATGCTAACTAATCATTTTGCTTAGATGCTCCATTTTCACATCTCCAGAATCTGTCTGTCCTTCAGGGTCCAGTTTAAGTGATTCGTAGGTATGCCATGAAGGACTATCCCCTCATCCTTCCTCACCGATCCACCTCACGAGCTAGTATATCTCCTACCTCCCCAAACTCCAGTAGTAGTATATTCCCCTGTAACTCTCTCATGACACTCACCATTTTCTAAGCAACCCCCCCCCAAAAAAAATCCACTCCCATCAAGTTGATTCTGAGTCACAGCAACCCTATAGGACAAGGTAGAACTGCCCCATAGGGTTTCCAAGGCTGTAAACCTTTATGGAAGCAGACTGTCTCCTCTTTCTCCCAAAGAGCATCTGGTGGGCTCAAACCACCAACATTTGGGTTAAGCAACCCAATACCTTAACCACTGCACCACTAGAGCTCCTCACCATTTTCTGTCAAGCTCTAAATGTTATGTCAAGCTATAAATGTTATACCCGCCCTTACTAGGCTGTAAGCCCCTTGAGGACAGGATTTCTGTCCAATTCATCTTGATACTTCCCACAGTTCCTTATGTACATTAGTGCTCAAAATATTTGTTGAGTGAACGAGTATATAAATGAATGCACTGTATAGTGAGTTTAATGGTGGTCCTCCAAAAGATATGTATGTTCTTCCAGAACATGTGAATGTTCTTTGCAGATGCAATTACAATAAGGATCTCAGCATGAAATTATCCTGGATTATCCAAGTGGGCCCTCAGTCCAAGACAAGTATCCTTAGAAAAGACAGGGAGATTTAATACAGACATGGAGAAGGTCATGTGAAGACAATAGCAGAGACTGGAGTTAGACAGCACAGGTCAAGGAACACCTAAAGCTACCAGAAGCTAGAAGAGATGAGGAAGGATTCTCCCGTAGACCCCTCCAGAGGAATCACAGCCTGCTGACACCTCGACTTCAAACTTCTGGACTTTAAAACTGTAAGAGAATAAATTTCTGTTGGCTTTTCTTTTTTCTTTAAATTTTATTTATTTTGTTGTTGTTGAGAATATACACAGCAAAACATGCACCAATTAAACAATTTCTACATGTACCATTTAGTGATGTTGATTACATTCTTCGAGTTGTTCAATTCTCACCCTCTTTTTCTGAATTGGTCCTCCATCGTTAACATAAACTCGTTGTTGTTGTTACGAGTCGTACCTGACTCATAGCGACCCCTCCTTGGGTTTCCGAGGCAGTATCACTATGGAAGTAGATTGCCCCATCTTCCTTCTCTGCCTCTAAATTTCCACTCAATCATTTGAGTTACTCTTCTCAACTTGATTCCATATGGATAATTCTTAAAAGAGCATAGTGTTCAAGGCAGAACTTTTTTTTTACTTTTTTGAGCTAAACTATTGTTTGCTTTTAAGAAGATGTCTGGGCATATTATTGGTTTAAAGTTTAAAGATGATCTCAGGACAATAGTTTCAGGAGAACTCCAGAAAGTCTATAATCCATGAGAATATGAAATTTTGTTCTGCATTTCCCCCGTTTCATCATGATTCTTCTATGGAATTTTTTATCAAGATGTTCAGTAATCGTAGCTAGGCACCATCCAGTTCTCCTGGTCTCATTACAAAGGAAGTTATGGAGGCAGTTCACCACACATTCTATATTCTCCTCCTCTTCCTGATTCTTTTTCTTCTGTTTCTCCAGGTGAATAGAGACCAATTGTGCCTCAGATGGCTGCAAGATTTTAAAGACCCCAAGCACTATGCAGTGAATGAGGAGGTAGAAGAGAAGCACCAAACACGTTATTAGACCAATTAACTGGGATGTCTCATGAAACCATGATCCTAATTCTCCAAACTAAGGAACCAAATCATGAGGTGTTCTGTTGTACATAAGCAGCCTCAGCATTTTTTTTTTTTTTTGTCATTGTTGTAAAAATATCATATAACCTTTGCCAATTAAGTTTTTACAGGTGTACAACTTACGGACAGCAATTACAATCATCAGCTGTGCAACCCTATGCTTAATTAATGTGATTTTTCCCTCACCATTAACTTCCCCCCCATGACCCACTCCAACTTCTGGTAACCACTGATAAACTTTGATCTCTATTCATTTGCCTTTTCTTGTCTTTTTATATAAGTGAAGACATACATAGTCCTTTTGTAGTTGACTTGTTAAATTTCCATTGTTTGTAAATTACCCAGTTTGTGGGAATTTGTTAAGGCAGCCCTGGGAAACTAAAAACCTAGCGTCAAATGAAATCAGCAGACCATTAGGGACAGTTTCCCTGAGTCTGTGCCGCTGTTGGGGTTTGTGTATTTCTGCTCATTGCAACCACCACACATTCAAACAGGAAGCATCACCTTCCTACCATACCCCTCACATGTAACTTCCCTTAATCACTCAACTTGTTTTCCATGTGAATCCCCCATCATGGTTCTTACTCTGCCTTCATTTTTCTCCTCATTTCTCTCTCCTGCTTTGCCCTCACTTGCTTCCAGTCTCCTCTTTGCAGAGCTCATGGTTTTTCCACATAAAGAGAGAGAAAGCCTCTGTCCAGGTTTTTGTTCATGAGTCAGCAGCTGTTTCTTCCTGGAGTAGAATATCCACACTGTGGTTGTCCTTTATAAACTTGTCTTGATGTTTAAGGCAGAGATCACAGTCTTAGCAGTACAAGGGCTTTGGGATTATGACTAGTTCAGTTTTCCTCTGGGTGCTTCCATACAATCTGAAAGGCTGTCATCCACCATCCCGTGAGCACACTTGTTGAGAAGAAATCCAGTACCAGGGATCTGATATGTTACTTGAAATGTGCTGAGTATATGGGCCAG